GGGGGGGGGGGGGGGAAGTATATAGTAGTGATTATATTTGAAAAGCAAATTAGCTTTGTGTATGAGTAGAATAGGTGCAATGCAACCTGTCCTCCTTACTGGAAACAGAAATATAAGAATTGATGACATGGGAATAGCTAAATAAGTCAGTAGTGGCTGAAGAGTCACTGAAGTGATAAGTGTTGAAAATGAGAAAAGGAAGTCTCTGTAATATAGGATGGCTTTAGGAACATTGGGTGGCATTTGAGAACCATCAAGTAACATGAGTTTTCTGGAAAATAAAATCTTTACAATGTACTTAATTTCTTTTCAGGCAGAAATGCAAAATAATTAAAGAAATACAGACAATGTAATATATTTGTCTTCTAATGCCATATGTGATACTATTTCACAATTCTATTAAAAAAGAGATGTGGCTTTGTTACAAAATTTTCTATGTGGATTAGAAATTTTCTGAGAGAACATTTGTGGAAAATATTGCCCAATAGACGTGCAGTGGGATAAAAGAATGGTGTCTTCCATCTTGATCTGTGTTATGTCTGGTTTTATTTCCCCATCAGTACTGATATGAAGGTAGAAACACAAAAGCATGTTAATTTAGTTCTCAGTTGAGATACGATAGGAGATATGTACTCCGCTTAAAAGATAAAAATAAAAAGGTCTACTGAGATCAGAAATATGGGAAGAAAATAAAAGTAAACAGGAAATACAGCACTCTAAAACACATAATAGGAAGAAAAAGGAACTTGGGGAAACTAATAATGAAAGATATGTAAGAGACAACAGAAATAGTTGTAAGAGGATATGGATATTTAAAAACAACACCATATGCTTGAGCTCTGTATACAGAAGTTCACAGAAAGGGAAGATACTTTTATTAACTTCATGACTCATGCTGACCATGTGATAAAGGGTTGTGATAATAGTAGTTTTTCATCATATGTGCTGAATATCTTTGGAAAGAGCAGTAAAAATTAGTTACTGTGTATTAGAAAAGTTTAGGAGCCAGGAAAGTGTTAGCAAAGAATGATGAGAAATTCTACACAGATTCAAAGATAAGCAAAAGCGTAGAATCCTAGAACCCTAGTTTGGGTTGGAAGGGACCTTAAAGATCATCGAGTTCCAAGCCCCCTGCCATGGGCAGGGACACCTCCCACCAGACCAGGTTGCTCAAAGCCCCATCCAGCCTGGCCTTGAACACCTCCAGGGATGGGGCATCCACAGCTTCTCTGGGCAACCTGTTCCAGGGCCTTACCCCCCTCACAGTGAAGAATTTCTTTATGGTATCTAATCTAAATTTCCCCTCTTCCAATTTAAAACTGTTGCTCCTTGCCCTTTCTCTACGCTTCCTGACAGAGAGTCCCTCTGCGGCTTTCCTGTAGGCTCCCTTCAGATATTGAAAGGCCACTCACTATAAGGTCTCCCCCGAGCCTTCTCTTCTCCAGGCTGAGCAGAATAGTTTCTGTAGGGTGTGGTGATATGTGATCAGGAAAAGGAAAATTAACTTCTATGCACATTAGATTGAATTGCTTAGTAATTATTTAGGATGTATAGGGCATTTTTCTAAGAAAGAGAAATCAGTGCTGACAAATAGATGTTTTTCTTTGAAGAAAACTTGGTTATTCTGGAAGAATGCAAAACGCATTCTGCTTGAATAGGGGGTGAATCATTGAACGCTAGAGCAGGACACTTCCTACTAGAGAGAGTATGTTTTGGCCAGTCCTTTTAAATAAAAGAGCTGTCTCAAAGGTTGTTGGGTTGGTTTTTTTCCCCCACAAGATTGTAATCTTTTAAAGCTATGTTTTATTTATTCAGTTGTTTTTTGGGATGAGGGAAGATTGGGGCATGGGAGGTATGTGTGCCATATAATGTGGGTCATGCTTTGATACTGTAAATAGCTGTTATTTCATCTAACTTCTTTCCAAATACAGGGGAACAATTTTTTATGTGAAGGCCAACAGTTTAACCCAACAATTAGAGCTGTAATCTGCAATGTTTTTGTGACAAAATGAGATATCTTGAGGAGAAAAATATTTCTGGAGGGGAGAGAAAAGAGTTATTATGAAATGTTTCTAGAAGACTTTTTTTTTTTTGGAAAAAAATGTCCTAGATAAATTGTCTGGTTTGTATAGTGGGAAATTACCTAAATAATGTATTTTAAGTGCAGTGCTGAAGTCAGTGACAACAGAAAAATTGCTCATTGATTTAAAAAGATGCAATGTGTGATCTCAGATTTTACATAAGATACCTGTTCCTGAAACTCTTGAATGAGAGGTGATAATCAAGCATCAATCAATATGGAGTATGTGTTTCCAAATAAAAACTCATGTCTAACAAAAATGATAGCTTCTTATAAGATGAGAATGATAAAATTAATAGATGATTGGAGTGCTGCTAATGTAATGTACAAAAAAATTTGATGACAGTCTGGACACACTGAAACTATTTATGGTTAAGCGTAATAAAAATCCCAAACTGTGGCAATCCGGTATAAAAAGCAAATATCATTTAAATTACAATCAGTCAGTATTTACACTGAAGCTGCATCATGAGGAAAATTATTTTCTACTTCAGGGAGATAATAAATACCTGAATTTAATACCACTTTTGAGATAAAAATTTGTCACTTAAGAATAATCACATTTGTTGAAAAGAGATGTTAACAACTGGCTTGAAATATTGCTCAGGAACCTACACACAGGATCCATACAAATGACACAAAAATAGTTGTAATTTTTTGTCCAGTATATTAATGTAAGAGCTTGTTTTATTTAGTATCTTTATTAATGACCAGGAAAAAACAATAAGTGGCTTAAACAGAGGGTTTTGTAAAAGAGGAAAAAAGAAAGTGAGATGGAAAGTCTGTGGAAGCCAGAAGTATTGATATTAACATGATATTTGGCAAAGTAGGCAAGCATATTAGTGTTTCTGAAGAAAACAAAATAAATGAAGAAATTCCCAAATGGGAAATACATAAATAGGAAGAAATAATGTTACTTACACTGGAGTATAAATAATTATTTTCTTTATGTGATCACCACTATTAATAACTGCCCTACAAAACACAATAAAGAAAAGATGGTAAACTGTAGACACATTTGTCAGTTCTTTGGGGGTTAAATGCAGCTCTGATTTTGGCTGTATAGTTAGACAGTTGGTACCACTGCAGAAGGGCAATGATCCTTTCTAGTACAATGCTTGTGGCACTTCACTATGAGTAGGATGTACAGTTTGGGTTGACTCAGAGCCAAAAGAAGTTACTCTTAGGAGAGTTTGGAAGGAAATTAGCAACAAAGAATACACATATTCTTATATT